GGAGAGGAGAGGAGAGGAGAGGAGAGGAGAGGAGAGGAGAGGAAAGGAAAGGAAAGGAAAGGAAAGGAAAGGAAAGGAAAGGAAAGGAAAGGAAAGGAAAGGAAAGGAGCAAAGAAATGGTAATTGTGGTTGTTTAGAAGCCCAAGCATATGGAGGTGTATGGTCTCTTGAACTCTACTGAAAAACATACAGAAGTCAAGAACACGTTTGCTGGGATCACAGTGTCTGGGTTTGAAACTGGGGTTCATCTTTCACAGGGCATATGCTTCTGGATAACAAGTTTTTGTTTTGTTTACTTTCTGCCTCAGACTCCTCTACTCTAACATAAGAACAAAACCCTGAAAGAATCCACCTCTGGGATTATGGTAGGAACTATTTCATGAATTCAGATCTGAAGACGTGCTGCAGCAGGTTAGGGATGGTCCACGCTTGCAGGAAGGAGCTCACTGTGCCCTTAAGAGGATGTACCACATGGTGAGCATCAGGAAGACGCTGGTCCATGCTTGTAGTAAAGAGCTCACCCGTGCCTTTTCTCAGGATGTACCAAATGGCATGCACCTAACACTTCCTTCTTAGATGAAATTACATTGTTAAATACACACTGATTTCAGCCAAGAAAGCCGGGGTGGGGGCGCACTGTACAGCTAAACAATGAAATCAGAAAATATCTGTGAAGACAAAACACAGCATCTCTCACCTTGTTCCTACGATAAGTTCCTTCTGTCCTGGGTCAAATGTTAACCTTGAGAAATCCACAGCATTCTCCGCTCTGAACTCCCGTAACCAGGGGCCAATTTCTAAACGTGAAAGAAAGAAACAAATAAAAAAGGTAAAAAAAAAAATATGAATGATCTTCCTCCAGGATGATAGAGAGGGCAGATCAGGTAACAAGCATAGCAGCAAAGACTTGGCGGTCCCCTGGTACAATTAACAGGTGCCACTACAGGCTTTTTATCAGCATATCACATAATTCATATGTTAACTCGAAAAATACAGAAGGCGGCCCCTCAACAAAGAGCAATGTAGACACCGGTGTTTGGCCGTGATTAACAAGCCAGATGTGCATTTTCCTTTTGGCTGCAGGCTGAGTGTTCATACTTCACACAACCCACCGGAGCAACAGGGGATGGTAAGGACCATTTCTTAAGACTCCAGGGCTGGGCCCTGCACACTGATCGTCCTCACTAGACTTAGAAGCAAAGGCAAAGCATGGGCACCTCTGTCGCTTTCCAATGAGTATTTTCATTCCAGGCCAATTAGATTTCTATTTTGGCCCTGCAATTTAGACTTATTAAACACATTTAATCCGTTATGAATATTTAGGGATGAGGAATTTGCAGTTACTCCTATGACTCAATTACATTATTTCTAAGAGAAATCAGGATGCAGCCACTCTAAGGGTCTAGACATTAGCTTACCAGCGTCAGACTGTGAGGAAATGACGGTGTATGAAAAGGGGCATAACACTGCTTCTGAACCATGCCTCATTCCTGGCACTGAAGAAACATGCCACACATTGCGTGCCAGTTTCAGGATACCTTCCCCGCTTCCTTGGCAACCAACTATAGAGTTGGATGTTCTTTTTCTTGGATTTAGTGCTTGAGTAATATCATGCTGACTAAATGGGCATATGCTAACTGTCAAACCAATGCTGTCACTGGCTTAAAGAAAGGCAATAATCTCTTTGAACAGACGCCAAAGATAAAAACAGATCTAGTATGGAAAACTCTTGTCAAATAACGCCTCGTACGTGGATAGCAAAACATCTTCATTATCCGTTCCTGGGGAATTGATATTGATTGGAATTTATTTTCCTCTTATAGAAAAACACGCCTAAGCTTAGACACAGATTTGGTTTTGAAATTTTAATGTACATGCTACCACACGGAAGTGTGTTATTCTTGGCATTTCACAAACACTTTTTCGTGTTTACCATAAATCAATTAAAACAACTACTCATTATAACTACACATACGCAAGACATCAGTGTTGTAACATGTTATGAGTAACTTCTAAGAAATTATAATGCCATTAGGACAATAGTGCTAATGTCTCTATAAATGTAAATATAATTTATAAGTGTCTACAGGGCTATGGGGTGATACAACTACAGAGAGGAGAGGTTGGCAGGGATAAGGGAAGGGAAGAGTCATCTAGAATCACGTGTCTTAGAGGAGCAGGCAAGGGGGTAACATGCAGCCCACAATGCCCTTCTGTACCAACCTCTTATGGAAACCACATTCTTTTATTTATTTTTTTCTGATTATAATCCCTGCTATTATTATTATTATTATTATTTAATTGAAGTTTTACATACCAATCCTAGGTCCCACTCCTTCCCTTCCTCCCACTTCCTCCATTTTCCCCCATACCCCATATGGACTCCCCAGAGAGGATTAGACTTCCCATAAGGAGGGAGATAACACTTTAAAAAAATATTTGATTTTGTTTTAATTATTTAATTTAGGCTTATTTCATGTGCATTGGTGTTTTGCCTGAATGTATGCCTGCAGGAGGGTGTCTGGTTTCCTGGAACTGGAAACAGTTGTGAGCTGCCGCCATGAGTGCTGGAATTGAACCTGGGTCCTCTGAAAGAAGAATCAGTGCTATTAACCCCTGAGCCATCTCTCCAGCGCATCGTTGGCAGTCTTTATTCTAACCTGAGGCTGGTGGTTCCCCTCTGGCCCTACCTCATAAAGCCGTCCTTATTCCAACACAACGATCATGGTTTCCTTTCTCCGTATCTCCCAGGTGATGGGCGATGAAAGCCAAAGTTCTGGTGTCTACAGCCAGGAGCTGTGCCTTGAATGTGGTGGCCATTGAGTCCGGTGTGGAGGTCAAGAGTGGGAATGAGTGGGTCCTTTTCAGAGCAGTTAAATGAAAGGAAGGAGGAAGGAGGAAAAACGAGGAAAGGAAAAAGTAGCAACAGCTTAAGAAATGCTTGGTTGGACATCAAGAGATTTGCTTCATGAGACCCATAGGGGATTCAGGTAAAGTCTGTGACATCTTGGCTTCCTACCAGGTGCAATAAGAAAGCATTTGCAGGTTTTCACGAGAGCACTTAATTTACGGCATCAAAGATCCTGGGAACAGGAGTGAGTCTTTGACAGAGAGTATGCTATGGAGAACGTAGAGAACGAGGTATTAAAAACACTAAATACTATAGAATTTAGGTAGTAGTAGAAAACAGAAATGCGACGGCTGCTGGGAGGTGAAACCAAGGGACGGGGGAGATTAAAGAAAACAAAACATTCTCAGGTTAAACCAGGGAGTCAAGGGTCAGAGGGCATGGCGTAATTTCCCGAAAGTGCAACCAAAAGAATGTCACCCACTAAAGTAGACAGGCAGCAGGTGAACTGCAGACCATCTCCACACATCACTAAGACCAGAAGCGCTGACACCATGCTTCAGTTTGAAACCATCACCATTTAGATGGGAAACCCACAGACAAAGAGCTCTGATCTAGACTCCCAGGCTGGGCAAAGTGCATCTCACTTCATTCACCTCAACTTATAGTCTCCAGAGGCGAGAATCCAGGTCTTCTCCCAAGCACAAGAGGGAAAAATTAGCAGAGCCAAGGCTGACCTTGCTTGCTGGTGGAGAAATGCAAACCAAGTAAGAGCATAAAAAATATTACAAATATCAGAAAATAGCCAGCTAGCTTGTTGAGCATGCATTCATCTGTGAAAGGTGGAGCAGTAGAGCCAGCAGGAGCTGGATGAGAAGAAGCCCTTCAGGATTAGGCTTCTGTTCTGAGGAAGAGCAGCAATAACAAAACAAGGGTGCTCCTGAAAACACCCCAAAGACGTGAGAAGAAGATAAATAAGGAAAGAAAAATGAGGTAACAGTATAGTAGTCAGCGTTGTTCCATTAGGTTTAACTGAAATTCAAAGGTATCCCCTCACCCCTGCTCCCCCCAAAAAACCTCGTGTACTTTGACGGGGGCAGCCTTCATTCAAAAATCAACCAAACTGTAGTTTCTTCATTTTGATTGTCTATTGCATTCTTCATCAACACTACTTTGTCTCAACTTTGTGTATCATTTGCCCATTCTTCCTACTGAACCCATCAAGACCCTTGTGAGAGTTTCTACTCAGACCAAGTTCTCTAGCTGATTCCCTGCAGACACAAACCACAACCTCACAGTGTTCTCCACCCTCTCCTCGAGACCAGGGCTCTGACTTTTGCTAAATCCCGTCTCTTTAAATTCCTTCATTCCCCTTTGCCCTTTAAAGTCTCCAGTATAACCGGTCACTGCCACTCAGCAGATACAACTCTACTAAGAAATGTTTCAGAGCTTACTCGTTTGCTCTAATTTGTTAGTAAAAGCACACAAACTAATTTCATAATGAACTCCAACATATGGCATGCTAGAAAAATGATAAGATTAGATTTATGTATATTTGGTCAAATTCATAAGGAATATATAATGCAAACATTTTGCAAGTTATTTCAGACAAAAGGGGAAACTTCTCAACTCAGTCTGAGGTTGTAATTATCATGATAATCTAAGCAGTAAAGCTGAGCCAGGAGCATCATAAGAAATAAATCTCAGGGATCAACTGAGAACACAGCTTATATTATGTTAAAGAAATGTATATAGCAACAGCAAATCAAATACATGTGTGCACATTCAAACCTCAAAGTCAAGTGTGTTGACACTTGGGTTCTTACTCACACATTATATTTTGCCAATATTTTACCAAAAGCATACAAATTGCTTTTAAAAGATATGTGGTTTATATTTTTAAGAAAACTCTTTTAGCAACATGAGCAATGGTTAATAAATTTGTTCAAAAGTAATTGGGAATCTTAAACTATATGTTGGCTAGACAGATGCCAGTCAGTGCCTCTTACTTATACAGGAGAGAAAATTGGAAGACCTCTTATCTCAAGCAAAAACATTCTAGAGGTAGTCGAGGTAACAATACCACAAGCTGAAATCTGAAAATACAGCCATAAAAGGATCCTGTTGCTAAGGGACAATAGTGAATCCAGATGGGGTTGGCTGCTGCCTGCGGCACCAACTCTCAACAACTCAACTTGGCCTAATTTGTCAAAGTGGATAAAGACTGTCATGGCATAGTTCCAATTCCATCCTGAATTCTCTCATTCCAGTCTATTCCGGCTCAAAGAAAACATTTCAAAACATATATGGAGATTCGAACTCATACTGAAATCAGAATCATAATGTACACTTAGTTAGGACTGGAGATGGTAGGAACATATTCCCCAAGCCATAGACAGAAAGCAACGTGCATCAGCCAAAGAAGCTGAAGCACAAAGAAAAACCCTACTGTTTCTATGTCTCAGGAAGTTCCATGGCTAGCTCTCTGCCACTGAAGCTATGCATAGAAAACACACAACAGGACTGGATCCCATGGAGCTAATACATAATATAAGCAGCATGGTTGGTTCTAGGCTCTGTTGCAAGCAACTCACAAATCTGAATCTCCACAGTTTTCTTCATCATAGGTGAGAAGACGGAAGCATGGTGAGGGGAGTCATGCTTAGACCACAAGCCAATGACATAAAAATACAGCCACACAGACCCAAGGACACAAAACAAAGGGGAACAAGCAACCTCTTCATTTCAAAAGCAAATTTATTCCTATTGATATATTGTTAAGCAAAATCAATACCCACTTGGTTCTCAACTGCAGACTACAGAACAATGAAATGCAGCCTTAGAAAACTGGGCTAACCATGCCAATCTCTCCTTCAGCCTACACAAAGCATTGACTGCTTGTGCCATTGTTAATATTAATAATGATCTGTGCATCAGTTAGGATCTGAG